ATGTTACATTTTTTACTTCCAGATCTTTGTTCAAATATAACATCCTTTAAAAAAGACTACATACCTAAAAAAATAATTACATGCTTTTTAAGTAATAGGCCCTAAACAAAATAATTTTTTTTTTAATGAACTTTAAATAAAGTTAACTTTAAATGTGGGTTTCGATTGTTTTTTTTTTTTTTTAGAATAATACAATAGTGTATCTAAAGGTAAAGAAAAATTCTCCACATTTCAAAAATGATAGTATTTCATGCCAGCCCCACCTTCACCTAGACCAAACACACTGATTGAGTACGTATACTGCATTACAAAGGCTGAATCTCGCAGGATTTTCATTAAAGTAAGTACAACTATACATCATTTTAAAGCTAATGAAAGCAGCTACAACTTTTATCTTAAATATGTTTTTATAAAAGGTCAGCGAAAAAGTTAAGGCGACAAAAATAAAATTATATGTTCAAAAATATCTATCATTTCAGCCTCTGGATTGCTTATATAATCAAATAAATAAATAGTAAAGTCTTACCTTAGTCTACCATAACAAGGATTGCTAAGGTAAGACTTTACTATTTATTTATTCAAAAATATATACATTTTTATAGAAATAACAAACAAACGGCAACAGTTACGACTAAGGTTTTTAAAAAACTCAACATGCTTGTAGAAAATGTTATAACAAAGACAATAAAACAAATTGCAATTCAATATGTTATTTAACAATCGATAAAAACATGTACCTTATGTAAAAAAACACTCACCATATTACACCAATGATAGTATTGCATATTGCAACGCCGCGCCAGCCCCACTTAGCTCACTGATTGAGTACGCATTGCATCACAACGGCTGAGTCTCACAGGTTTTTCATTAAAGTAAGTACTATTATACATTATTTTAAAGCTAATGAAAGCAGCTACAACTTTTGTGTAAAACATATTTTCATAAAACGTCAGCAAAAAAAGTTAAGGCGACAAAAATAAAATTATATGTTGAAAAATATATAAATATTTACATTTTTATACAAATAACGAACAAACGGTAACAGCTACGACAAAAGTTAAATGAACAGGATTGTAGGAAATTTTATAACAAAGACAATAAAACTAAAAGCAATTCAATACGTTGTTTAACAATCGAGAAAAACATGATTTACAAAACCCTTGCACTTTATATGTTTTGGGGGGCGTAGGGGGGGGGTGAAGCAAGGGGGGTAGGGGTGGGGACTTTTGGCTGAAGACTTCTCTAAATGGTAGTAGTCGGAGGGAAAAAAATCTGCTTGTTACTAATTTTTTCCACCTAAAAACACAGGTTGACTGGACTAATACCACTTTTGGCCTCTAAACTTTGAAAGCAATTTGATATCAGTGCCTGGGTTGCTTGGACAGTGCTGTGTTTGGGCCTAAAGCCAAACTGACTACTTGCTAAAAGGTTACTATCCTCAAGATACTGAGAAAATCTACGATGTACGAGATGTTCCAAGACCTTCGACACTGCAGGGATAATAGATATAGGCCTATAGTTAGCAATAACATTTTTAGGCCCTTTTTTATGGACTGGTATAACCTTAGAAATCTTGAACTTGTTTGGGTAGCAGCCTTGTGTTATACAAAGATTAAATAGGTAAGTCAAAACTTCACTTACGTAACTAGAAGCTAACTTCAAGATGGGGACATTAATTCCGTAAATATCTGTTTAGAAAGAAACAGACTACAAAAATCTATATATTAATTTGAAACTGTTTTTCTTTGTGACAGCTAATTTGAGAGAACGGCTGGGTGTAGAAACTCGGTAGGGGTCTCTAAAGAAAGGTCTTGGTCTGTAGATGAGCCATCAAAAGAGAAACGTGGTAAATTCCCTTGGGGCTCTGCCCCAGTGGTCTTTAAATTCCCATCCCATGTTATTCTTATAGAGGAAAAACGGGTTTTTGTCAGAGCTAATTACAGAGAACGGCTGGGCGTAGAAACTTGGCAGTGGTCTCTAAAGAAAGGTCTTAGTCTTTAGATGAGCCATCTAAAGAGAAACAAGGTAAATTCCCTTGGGGCTCTGCCCCAGAGGCCTTTAAAGTTCCCTCTTCAAATTTGTTTACATTACGACTATATGCATACATTTACACTACTTTTTAATGAAACAGCTGTTAATATTTAAATTGTGATTTACTAAATTTGTCAAAATGAAGTATTTGCAATGGTTTTTTTCTAATTTTAAATCGATTTTCTTCTGAATCGTGCCATGTTTTAAAATATAATGTTCTATTATCAAATCAGTGGAAAATCCTAATATCATAGTACCGTAACTCTTAAAATTATTTCTATTGTAGAGTTCTATTGTGCAGTTAACTTATATCTATTGTATGGGATGGTTTCTGCCTTTTTTACCACTTCTTGGAGATTGCACGTAGACGATATTCTTTGGCGTATTGCATCTGTAGTAGACGACACTTGGTTGGTGTAATTTTTAAAATTACAATGGAAAAAAAGCGGGAAATCCTGGACAATTTGATATACTAAAAATAAAACTGATTTAACACTGTGCTACATTTCTTGAGCAATAATTGAAAGAGCCGATTTACAAACAAAGGAAACAGGAAAGTCATAGAACAGTAGAAAAAATAGAAATAATGTTTTTTGTTTTTTTTTCATTTATAATCGTTATTATAGACAACCTAATGCGACTATGAGTGGGAAACATTTGTAGAAAACACTAAAAAACAAGGCCAGCTTTTGAAAAAAGATAAGATATTTACAAAAGGTTTTGATTATATCTAACTGTTGTGTACATCTTGAGTATTTCCATAATCTTTGAGTCGACTCTCTTATAAAGTCATCGGAAATTATGACTGTTATTCGTTTTAAAATATCGCCTGTAATGCATCGCAATTGCTCGAATTCGAGCAACAGGTACACTAGTACTTATTAATTTGAAAACAATAATGATAATAAAATAAATTATCATTATAGCATAATGAAAATTGTTAGGTATCTTTAGGCTACCCCAGCATGCTTTAACATAATATTTTTTTAACATTTCTATAATCAGTCTTAGAAATTACTTTAGAGTGACTCTGGACAATATCACAAAAACATAATTCAACAAGTTTTAAACGAACCTGAACACAGTGCAAACTTTTTCCTGACTTATTCTTATCCCTGTCCTCTCATTGGTCAAATTTAATGTTAGTGGAGAGGGAAAGACGCCACTTGGTCAGTTCCGCTTGTATCGTCTTACCGGCAACTCCCGTGTTTCACGGTCACAAACTATCAAACCGCAATTACCGCAAAAATATATAATTTTACCATTCAAATACAGTAATACTTCGTAAAAGTTGTTTTTTAGTTCTTTTATAAACTTTTTAGACAGTGATTTTATTTTATTTTACCTTTCACTCGAACACGTGCTCGAGATCGTGCACAGACTTGTGACTTTTGTCGAAAAAGCGTGGTTTCTTTTAGTTTTTACGTACAATCTGGTTTGGTTTAAAAGTGCAAGTTTATTTTGATATTTTGGAGAAAAGTGTATATGTGTCATCTTGTGCCATTTTTGACTGTACCATTGTCATTGCCCCCCCCCCCCCCCCCAGAACGTCACTTCAGTTCCCAAAGAAGGCGCCTTGTCCCCCCTGCTGAGTCGACTCTCCTCGCTGATCCCTGGACCACGTTGCTGAGAGGCCCTGTACCAGCAGCCACAACCTCTCAAGGACCAAAAGTGCAGTAGTATTATCAGATACTGTGCTCCAATCAGAATATTACTTGCACTAATTCATTTATTAAGCAAAAGTTATTATGAACTTTCACGGTGTTGTTTCTTGACAAACTCATTGACATTTGTAAATTCTGAGAAAACCAGCGCATTGCTGTAACCGAGTATTTTGTTGCAGTTAACATTTGCTTTCTAGTTGTCCGAGAATTTACTCAATAACTATAATTAACGAGCGACTAAACTCACGTTCGGGAGTATATTACGGGCACATTATTCAGACTCTATGATTGAGATTTTGCTGTTTATGTTTTTGTTCTGCATTATTTTATTACAAGTTGCAGTTTTGCTCGATTTTGAGCAACAGGTTATCTAGTAGTAGTAAATAAAGCACAACTGAGCACCCTGAAATAATTCCGCAACTACAGAAAAATCCTGAATACCTCCTGCAAAAACATCATTATCTTCTGCGGTCCCAAAAACGTCATCATTGTCCCAATCTCCCTAAAAGCACATGGCTTAAGCTAAATTTTTTACTTTCTCCCCCTATACATAGTATATGGAGAAATATAACTTTGATTGGATACATCCTTATTACCCAATAAGGATATAATATCCACTCAAACATTAATATACCCCCTGAACTCAAATAAGTGGTTTAAGGAAGTGATGTCTGTGTGAATGGATGTGTACACAGCTACAGACCACACCTGTGGTCCAATTTTGATGAAATTTGGTATGTAGGTACTAATCCATAGTATCTCCAGGCGTTTTTTTTCATTTTATCAAAATTTTGATTTTGTTGTTGATTTTCCCATAAAATAACGGAAAAATTAGATTAAAAAATGGTATTTAGAATTACACCCGAACAATTTTGATAAAAATTTACAGTAGTCCTTTAAATTATGAACACAATAATACAAATTCCATTTCTGTAAAAATTATGGTTCTTAAGTTTATTGCAACTTTTATTTTCCCATTTAAAAAAATCAGATTTTAGTAAAAAAAGCCGGGTTTGATTAAAATTAATGTGTTATGGTTCTTATAATTCTAAACAAAATAGTGAAAACCCCCATTGCTGTAACAATTACGGTTCAAAGGTTATTGCAAATTTTGTGATTTTTCCCTATAAAATATCATAGTTACGCACCCCTTATCCATGATAAATAAAGGTTGATGACAAGCATATGGGATAAAGTATGTGTCAGATTGCTGATACCGTTTATTTGACTTGGTGCTCAATCAAAAAGTAGAGTTGATAGATTTTGTAAGAAAAAATATAGGTAAATAACATTTTAATTGTTATGTACACTTTATTCATATTATTGGACAGAGTATTAACAGGTAAGTAGACATTATACTTTGCTGATTGGAAAGTCGATGTAAGTCTTCCTCATAAATGAAATATCTGGTAACGAAGCCAAGAGAGTTTCTGCCTCTGCACTGGGTGTTTTTGGCAAATTTAATGTCGTCTTTAAACCTAAAAAAATAATAATATTACCCATTTAAAACATATTGCTCAAGAACATAAAACATTAACACACCCATGAATATAATCAATCGTCTTTATATGTTCACTAACATTTGATTTAATATTTTGTATTCAGTTTTCATCTGTGCCTTATCATTGTGATTATACTTTAAACATGTGCTATTAAAACATGGTTATATTTACAAATAAATACAGAGGTGCCCATCCCCCCTAAAGCCACAACCCCCCCCCCCCCCAAAGCCAGAGGAGCAGTTGCCCCCATTTTATGCTGCCCTCTATTTAACCCCCCCCCCCTGCCAGTTACTTGGCAATTTCTCCTTATAACATAACAAACATTTCAATTATTTAGTAAACTTGAGGTAAAGAAATACAACTGCTTGCTGACAATAAAAATGAAATGTTTGATAGGAAACGTTATTTAAACAATACCAAATTATACCTAACTAATGGACGAATTGGAACTTTTTCAATTTACAATTCAGAATCTGTATTTGCAACATGTGCTCAGTATTGCAATAACGTCTTCAAAACGTTCAACAATATACTCGGTGTATTACTCTACTACTACTCCAACTCCAACACAGTACTGTACAATATATTAGGTTAGTGTACATTTTTACAGGGCATAAGAATTCAAACAACTTTAAGTGCATGAATAATAATTTGACAAAAAGTATCTTGTTTCAAAATTAGACAAATGTTGAAAGCAGAGTCAAGAAATAGGGCAGACTAGGAGGGGTTGCTCACCACTCCAAGGCTGCCTTCTACGAAAATCGCCGGGCTAAATACCCACAATACCTTAATCACCACCAGCACGAAAGGTTTTTGTGACGAAGTAGTCTTATAATTCATTTTGATAGCCCCAGGATTGTGTTTTAGGATTAATAATGGTAGAAACTCATCTTGTCAGACAATTCTGAATTTTTACGGTAGTGTCAAATTTTACTTGCTACATATGTTTTGGTGGTTCTTCAACTTAACCATTGTCAGGCTTACAAAAGGTTCCACTTCCAGGGTCGTCAGAATTACGTTACAAACATTTAATACTAAACACGAAACGATTACAGATATGCCTATCAAATCACGCATGTACTTTTTGCCACAGGCAGGACTGGAAGTAAACTGAATCAGGTTATGATGGACCAACATGGTCTCTGGATTGTCGTCTGTGTTATCTGTTACAGCTTATTAGCTTATATTTGACTATATCCGTCAGTAGTGACGGATGAGTGTTAAAAATATAATGGGATTCATAATTGAGTTTTCCATTCAATATTATTATTATTAGGTACTATTTTTGTTGTTTTTATTATTGACAATAATAATTACCATGATATGCTCGATATAAATGATGGTCTCGACATTCTACATTACTGTGGGGAAGTAAATTTATAAAATACTTTGTACTTTACTTTACTGCTGTGGCCACTGGTACCCTAGATGGTACTTGGCCTCCCCAACACACTGCCTCCATAGGTCTCTGCTTCTTGCATCTTCCTTCCTTCTCCCTAGCTTCCTCAGGTCTTTCTCCACTTGGTCGAACCATCTAAGTTTCGGTCTTCCAAGGGGTCTTCTACCTTCTGGGTTATTCCTCAAGATGTTCTTTGATAGGGAGTTGTCATCTTTTCTTAAAATATGCCCTGCCCATCTCAGTCTTCTGCTCCGTACCTCAGCGACAATATCCGGATCCTTAAATAATTCTCTAAGTTCCCAATTATGTCTCGATCTCCATTGTCCATCCTCAAAAATCGGTCCGTACACTTTCCTCAAAATCTTGTTCTCAAATACATTAGCTTTCCTTTCTGATTTCTTGCTTAAGATCCAATTTTCTGAACCATACAGGAGAACTGGTCTGATGATTGTCTTATAAATCCTGAGTTTGGTGGTGTGGGATATTATTTTTGAAGTTAGTAACTTGTGACAGGCCGAAAAACTTTTTTGTGCTAGGTTTAATCTATTTTGAATTTCTAGCTCTTCATCATTATCACTGGTGAGGATGACTCCCAAATACTTGAAATTTGTTACTTTTTTAAATTTATACTTTTCAATTTCAATGTAGTTGTTATTTTGGTATCTTGGTTGGTCATCATCTTGTTTTCTTCCACATGTCATAAACTTGGTTTTCTCTTCATTTATGTATAGCCCCATTTTTCTTGTATGTTCAATAAGCATTTTTGTTACATCTTTCATTTCTTCTATATTATGTGTAATTAATACTATGTCATCTGCAAAAGCTAGCAAGTTTATGTTTGTTCCTATCTTAATCCCTACTTCTGTTTTTCTTATCTCCTGAAGAGCTGTTTCTATGGCTAAATTGAACAGCAATGGAGATACCCCGTCTCTCCATATATAATAATAAAATACTTTGTAAGAGTTTGAAAAATGTAAATACATAAAAACTATGGACAGCACACAAATTTTGAATGAAAGCACTCAATTAATTATGAATCCCATCATATTTTCAACACTTCTCATTCACTACAATAGTCCAAATAACTATAAGCTGTTGATAACGCAGACGACAATACAGAGACCACGTTGGTCCGTCATAACCTGATTCAGTTTACACAATCCTGTTCCACAACAGTGTTATAAGTCCTGCCCACATCAATGTACACGCGTGAATTGATAGGCATATCTGTAATCGTTTCATGTTTTGTGTTAAATGTTTGTAACATATTCTGACGACACCTTCAAAAGTGGATCATTTTGTAAGCCTGACGATGGTCGGGTTAAAGAACAGCCAAAACATATGTCGAAAGTAAAATTCAACACTACCGTACGTCTTAAGGATCGTCTGACAAGGTGTGTTTTTACCATTTTTAGAAGTCACCTTAATTACGAATAGCAAAATATATGGCGAGTGAACTAATTAGAAATACTTTTTTGGGCTGCTTATACAAAATTATACATTCATTATGACACCTAAAAAAAATATCCCCCCAGAAATCCGCCCAAAAAATCCCCCCCCCCCAAAAAAAATCCCCTCACTGGGCACCCCTGGCATTAGAGGTACTGTGTACCAATAGTTGGTATCTATGTTGCATGCAAGTAGAAGGATGTTATTACTCACTAGTTGAGAGTTGAGACTCAATAGTAATGATGAAGTTGAGATCCAAGAGAGAGTTGTGAGAAGCTGCCCACCACCACAACAAGCAAAGCAACAAATTAAGAGCTACTGTATACACTATCTAACAATTAATTGTACAAATAGAATCCAGTATAAGATAGTTCTGATACAATTTGTAATACTTCCATTGTGATGATCTCACAATGAGATTACAATTAGGTACTTTATGGGTTGTAGTTGTTAATTGATCACTCACAAGAATTTGCTTAATTTAAGTTATCTTATCAATCAGGCATTTAGGAAGTCATTAAGCTATACTAAAAGTAAAAACAAATTTTTCATCATATATTTTTGTTAACTTTCAAGGAAAAAAACACTTTCAGTACTACATAAGGCAATATAAATGGAGTTTTGAAAAGTACTTCACAAAACAGGCTATGTGTAAGAATTTCCCTACAATTTCTTGTGACGCATAGCGGCACGCTATATTTCTTATAGTGTCAGCGCTTCGCGTGGCAGGGCTGCATGACGAACTCGTCAGCCCAAGCGAACGCCTTCCCCCACCTACTTTTCCAATTCTCTTCCCACTTCGTCACCCACCTACAAGAAAACCGCTCTGAAATCTGCCTCTCCAGAAACCTTCATAAAATGGCTAATTCCTAGAATAATTATATAATAGATATTAGATTAGAATGTCAGGCTAACTAGCAAGGTAAAGGGGGAGACGTACAACGGTCACCCCGACATTGGATGTGTAGGAATTAATTAATTACGGTTCGAGGCCTTCAGCCTTTTCAACCATGAACATAAATAGGGTAACACGGTTTCCCCAGAAGATTCCATAGTTCTTCTCAGTAAATTCATACTTATTTCTGATTAAGTAGTTCAATCACCAACCAATCATTTCATTCATAGTCATTTTCTAGGTCACAAGTTTTGGAAGGATAGTTTAGGTGAATTAGTTGTAATTAGTATAAATCAAAGCTGACTATGCAAGATTTCGGTCTGGGTAAAAGATCTGGTCCCGAACACGTCTTTCATGTAAATAATTTGGTGGCAGAATCAGCACGCTTAAATTAGTCTCACAGTTCCATATCACTTCATCGTCACCGTCATGTCAGGTAACGCATCAGCCTCATATCCCCAAGTTTCTCTACCAATTCCCCCCCCCCATGCTACACTCTGACTATAACCAGATAGTTTGAGCTTATCACCGTGTACGTACATCGTTATTAGTAAATAAGCCAAAAATATGGGTGTAATTTAAGTTCTTTTATTGACCTACAAGTAATTGACTGTGAATTTACACACTGGCAATAAACGATTTGTACTACCTATTTCTCTATGTTCCATGTAAACACATAAAAATTAACCCTCCAACTAGCAGCACGTCGCGTTAGGTGGTTTTTGTAGTGGCAGCAGCTATAATAGTCGCATTTTGCAAGGTTTTGGTGAAATCCAAATAAATGGTTAAAAACTATTGTAAAATGGAATAATTTTTATACCTTTAGAAATATAAGATTCTTAACTTATGTTTATGATCCATACCGTTTATGTTCTAGTATCCGTGGAATACGATTGCAATGAGGGTTGCTTGGGTCTACATATTGTGGATTACAAAAAATACAAAAAAAATCTAAAACATAGTTATATCGTTTTAATTTCAAGCCACAATAAAATTTGTGTGGCTCTGACATAATATTTATAGACGTAAGCAACTACCCGTAACAGACGTCAGTGTACTAATGTTCTGGATACTCGCATTTTCAAGTCTAGATATGAAAATTTATTGACACATCGGCGGAAACACAGCGCCGGATGACTGGATGTACTGGTGTAAGAGACTCTACTGTATCAGAATCGAGAATCAGTAAATTTTGGTATCGATACATATCTAATAATTCTACTATTTAAAAAATGTATTAATTAATTACATAGATCAATTGAGTGCATGTATACAAACACTAAATAAATTTGTAAGAATGAAAGCATAAAAATAACACTGTGTGCCACCACCAAAATTATAAAAATTTAACCACAACCAAGGTGAAGGGAATTAATCAATTAAGCAATAGTATTTAAATAGACTTACAATCAAGAGGATTGGTGAGTCCACTGCCAACCCAGTCAAAATGTGCATCTGGTACAATCTCCTGGAATCAAATTAATAATTGGTGTTAAAGAAGTAATGTGATGCTGTCTGTAGCAAACTAAGCCCATTGTAACTTGCACTCATTTCTCAGTTTATCATAAGGTTGTCATCTTTCATACATGTTTTTACTTGGAATTGCACATTAGTTTCATTTCTGACTTACTACCGCGAAATGGGGAGTTGCCTTCTGATATATCTTCATAAAAATATACAAAATACACGTAAATTAATTAGTAAACTTTATTCCAGAACTAATTCAACAAAAAAAATAAAATGTAAACAATAACAATAATATCAACAATAATCATCTGATTATTTAAGCATAAGACAATCCTCCCCCCTATTAAGCTGCTCTTAGTTGGTCGCAGTGTCTCTTAATTAACCGCCCGTCTTCTGATTTAACAAGATACATCACGTTCCCAAGCGGCCTTTCTACTGTTCCTGTTGACCACTTTTCTTCTGACATTTTTGAGTAATTTCTCATCAACACTATTTGTCCTTTTGAGAAACTTCTTCTAGTTAAAACTTGACGTTTGGTTTGCGGTGTGGGTGTCCTCTCAACCATTAAATCCATTTCGGTTCTTATGTTTCTCCCAAACATAAGCAAGTATGGAGATTGTCCTGTTGCGTCTTCCTTAGCTGTTTCAGTATCGTGTTTATCTTATCCTCATTGTGTCCTCCCCCACAAGCATGTAAGAGGTTCTTGACCATTTGAACTGACCTTTCTGCTTGACAATTAGATTTTGGGCAAAAAGGAGCGATTGTTTTATGTATTATTTGATACTTCTAGAGGTAGTTTTCAAACAAAGTTGATGTTAACTGAGTCCCGTTGTCTGAAACAAGGACATGAGGAAAACCGAATGTTGCAAATAATTTATCTAGTTGTTTTAGGCACCAGTCACTTGTTGTCGATTTAGTCGGGATGACCTCTACCCATTTACTGTAAGCATCGACAACAATGAAGTAACTCCAGCCTTTTATTGGTCCTGCAAAGTCTACGTGAATACGTTCCCACGGCCCGCTTGGAGGTTCCCATGGGTGGACCGTTTCCTTAGGTGGGCTTTTGAGTTTTTGTTGGCATGAATAGCAATGTTTGACTAAATTTTCTATTTCCTGATAAATATTTTGCCAATAGCAGTAACTTCTAGCCAGAAGTTTCATCTTCGTCATGCCCATATGACCGGCATGCAACTCGTTTGGAACTTGTTTTCTTAAAGTTAAAGGTACGCATATTCTATTCCCTCTGAACACACAGCCATAAATTAAGCAAAATTCATTGTTATTTAATCCCAGTTCTTTTAAACTTTTTCCTGTGTTTAAATAGTATGATATCACTTTGAGATTTTCATCTTTCCTTGTTTCTTCTTCAATCTTTATTCTTGTCACTGGCATTGCTTCCACTTGGTTCATCAGGTACTGCTCGTGATCATCAAATGCATTTTCTGGTACCTCAGTGACTGGAAATCAAGATAAAAAGTCTGCATTAGCGTGTTCTGTTGTATTGCGGTATTCAATCGTGTAATCAAATCCTGATAAAAAGTGAGCATAGTTAAACATTCTCGAAGCTGTCATTGAAGGTAAGGTCTTTGCAGGATCAAAAATGGAGACGAGGGGTTTGTGATCTGTTATTAGAACAAATTTTCTTCCATAACAATAGGCGAAAAATGTCTTCAACCCCCAGTAAATTCCTACCGCTTCTTTGTCGATTTGGCTGTACTTCCTTTCTGATTTTGTGAGAGTTCTTGAGGCGAATGCTATTGGTTTCTCTGATCCATCTTTGTATCTGTGAGATAAACAAGCAACTAAGCCAGTTGGACTTGCATCTGTAGCAAGTACCAATGCTTCACTTGGATCATAATGAGCTAATATTCGTTCACTGGTGATTTCAGCTTTGATCTTCACAAAGGCATCCTCGCACTCCTTATTCCATGTAAACTTCTTTCCATGTCTTAGTAGATTATTTAATGGTTCCAGATAGGTTGACATGTTAGGCACAAATCGAGTGTAGTAATTTGTGAGTCCTAGGAAACTTCTTAGTTGAGTAACATCTTCGGGTCTCTTTGCTTTACTTATAGCTTCAACATTGTCAGGTGATTTATGAAGACCATTCTCGTCTATAACATGGCCTAGATACTTCACACTTTTCTTGAAGAATTTGCATTTGTCCCGATTCAATAGTAAGTTGTATTGTCTAATTCTTTGAAAAACCTCTTTTAGTCAACTCATAGTTACTTGGAATGTGCTCCCTTGAATGAGTATGTCGTCAAAGAAACATACAGTTCCTCCTGGTCCATGGAGAACCTTGTCCATAAATCGTTGCCATATACTTGGAGCTATTTTTATGCCGAACATTAGGCGATTTACTTTGAACAAACCTAAATGAGTACTTATGGTTTGTATTTTTCTTGATTCTTCATCCATAGGTAGGTGCAAATAGGCATTACTTATGTCCAAGGTGCAGAAAAATTTTCCTTTATTCATGTGTGTAAAAATGTCTTCAATGCGAGGGATAGGGTACTTCTCATCTAATATTAGTTTGTTGGCTGTTACCTTGTAGTCAGCGCAGAGCCTTACACTTCCATTAGGCTTTTTTACCGGAACAATTGGTGTTCCCCATTGCGAGTTTTCAACTTAGGAGATTATACCACTGCTCTCTAGTCTATGTAACTCATCTTCAACAGCTTTCCTTAGAGCATAAGGTATTTGTCGTGGTTTAACAAAAATTGGTTTAGCTCCTTCCTTTAGCTGTATACGTCCTTGTTCTGAATTTATTTTACTGATTTCTGCCTTGAAAATGTCCTGAAAAGTTGTTAGGAGTTTATCAAGTTCCTCTGATGTGTTGGTATCCGCAAGATTTATATCAGCCCAATCCATCTTGACTTCTCGGAGCCATTCACGTCCAAATATTGGGTCTACATTTTGTTTTAAAACATAGAGTTTCCCATGAAAACTGAAATTTTTGTACTTTCATTCAACAAAACAGACTCCTACAGGCCTTATAATTTCTCCAGTGTATGTTTTCATTTCCACTGCCGTCTTGAATAGATGTTTATTAAGTTCAAGTTTAAGAAAATCACTGTATGATAATGAGCTCAAAGCCGCCCCAGTATCAAGTTCCATATTCAATGACTTGCCTTCAATAGAATCGTTAATCATGAACTTGTCATTCACATTTGGTGTCCCCACCATGTAAACCTCATTAATGTTTTCATTATCATCTTCAACATCAATTTAATTTGATTTTAACTTATAAGCGTTCTCGCTTGCATTGCTAACCCTGTTGCGTGTAAGACAAACATTCGCAATGTGTCCAATCTTGTTACACTTCCTACAAAATTTATTTTTAAACTTGCAAGTATCAGCTTTGCAAGTTGAGCACTGCTGCATCTGTAACATTAAAAAATCTCTTAAATCTTGAAAGGTAATATGTGGTTTGATTTCATTTCTACTCTTTCTTGCCAGGTTGTTTACTCACATAGTTAACATCTTTAGTTTGTTCTGTAACGTAATGAGAGTACTTAGGTTTTATTGCATAACTTTCCAGTTTGGATTGTTCAATAGAAATAGCCATTTCTACCCCTTCCTTAAATGATTGTTTATTTCCTTTTTCCTGAAGAAGCCTAACTCTCACTTCATTATCTCTTAATCCTCGAATGAATTGTATCTTCAAGAACATCACAGACTGAATGTTCACAGTTGTAACACTTAAAGTCACAGTCAATTGCCAAACGTTTTAATTCTCGAGCGTACGTAGAAATTCCCTCTTCATTATTTTGAACTTTACTGATGAACCTATTTTGATTGGCAAGTACACTTGGAGTAGGTTCCAAGCAGTTTTGCAGTATATCCGATAGTTCTTCATACAATTTGTCACCTGGTGTCTCAGGAGCAATTGTGTCACATAATGCCTGATGCATTTCGGGTGTAAGAGTACTAACAAACAGTTGTGTTTTGGTTTTGGGCTCTGTGATTTGTTTTAGATCCAAGAAATTTTTAAACCACATTAGGAAATTCCGAAAGGTTTCATTTTCTGTGTAGGGTGTGAAACTCACATTCGGTATGTTCAATTTATAAGGATCATTTAATTCGCTAGAAACATTCCTATCAACTTCTGTTTGCTTAATAGTGACAAAGAATGGTTGTCATAAAGCTCTTGCCTCGAGGTATGTTTCCTCTACATCTGTACGATAATCTTCTTCTCTTTCAATTTCATCTTCATCGTCTGTAGTTGTTATAATCTGTTCATGTAACACGGTGAATCTTTTCCACGTTTCATCCAGTAGAGTTTGTCTGCCTAGAGCATCGTAGATGAACCTTTAGTTTTCAGCACATGTAAAGTCCTTGTAATTTGTGATTTTATGATTCCTCTTTGCTGTTTTAATTTTCTAGTTTCATTTTCACTTTTATCACTCGTCGCCATTGATATATCTTCATAAAAATATACAAAATACACGTAAATTAATTAGTAAACTTTATTCCAGAACTAATTCAACAAAAAAATAAAATGTAAACAATAACAATAATATCAACAATAATCATCTGATTATTTAAGCATATGACACCTTCATATAGACAATTGTGTCTAAATTAGGGGCTATGGCCTCTACAGGCCACTAGTATTAATTAATTACGTAAGCCGATTCTTGGCGTCAAAATTGTGGGCGACTGGGAAGTCGCGGAATGACTTGAGAGGGCTCAAATTAAAGGTCTCAATCCCGTGACGGCGGGAAAAATAGTGATATTTCCAAAATGTTTACACAAAATTAGATATAACTTAAAATGTTCTCCATAAGAATAGCATTAGAAGCCATTTTTCTGCTGATTTTTGTTTACTTCAATACAGCTGATCGTGATTTATCATTAAGCCAGTAAGTAATATTAAATTTGGATTACTCATTAGCCAAGCAATTCTGCAATGTACTGTATACTAGACTAGCTGGCCCGACAGACATCGTCCTGTCCTAATGTGGTTTTGTGTCAAATGCTCGTTCATTTTCAAGA